TAATGAACTTAAGACCTTATGAAAAATCATGTTGGAGCACAGAGATAAGAAATAAACCTCTGAAATACATTATATGTGGTTTTTTTGTTTTAAATATATATTTTATTGATTTCAGAGAGGAAGGGAGAGGGAGCAAGAGATAGAAACATCAATGATGAGAATCATCAAGTGGCTGTCTTCTGCACGCCCCACACTAGGGATCGAGTCTGCTACCTGGGCATGTTATGTGCCCTGACCAGGAACCCAAATGTGACCTCCCAGGTCACAGGTCAATGCTCAAACACTGAGCCATGTCAGCCAGGCACATTATGTGTGCCTTATATTCTCTGAAGTCTAATAACTGATACCTCACACTAAGTTAAAATAATATCAGGGGTACATTACACATATTAAATGAGTAATAATACTGTCCAATATTGTCTCTCACTAGAAATTTTCAGAATGTTTATCATAAAATATCTGATAGTTTTGTTACCACGTCACCAGCTCTTATATGCCAATGACATGCTAGCACACACAGACTGCTCCGTGTTTCTTCTCCCATGAAGGATGGTCCAGTCTGTCTGAATTAAGTGTTGATTTTTGTCTTTATCCTCTCATGTTGACCACTCCCCGACACTTACTTCTGTAATTTGTTTCATGGGTTCCCATGCCTCCTCTCCCAGGTCTGGCCATGCTCTCGGGTATGGACACAGAGTAATTTGAGTGTCAGAATGTGTATACAACCAACCAACCAACCAACCAACTTTTTGTGTAATCCCCTCAGTTATGTTGAACACACCTTTTTGAGTCTCCTATATAAGGGCAGGAATGTTGGACTCATGTTGAAGTTCCTTTTACAAAAAGCCTTGCTTCCCTCCCTGATGTTTTAGAGCTGGTCCACACAAAAACTGCCATTTTTCATTTCCAAGACCTTATTTCAGCAAATTTCACTCACACTCCACCCTCTGCCTAACCTTTTCTTTTCATAATAAATATCCACCTCTTTTCCCAATTATCTCAACATGACTGGCTTGTGAGCTGCAAACACATCTAAACTTTCTAGTTGTTTAAATCATAAACCAGTTCTAGCCCTAAATGATAGTAAGTCAGACATTTATTACCTCAATTCTCTTATCTATGTTGGTTCCCATATTGGTTCCATATATTGCGTGTCAAGCCTATACACAAAAACATATTTAAACATAAAAATAGGGATAAATGAGAAAAGTGCCAGTTTATTTTTTGCAAAACTAAGTTGCTTCTTACCCGCCTTTTAAAGGTGAGTCTAGCTAAGAGGTTAGGGTTGGTTCTGAGGGGCAAACCTGGAGGAAATCAAACCAGATAGACCAGTGAGCCACTTAATGGTCTTAGCAGGAAAAGCTAACAAAAACACAATACCCAGATAGTGGATGCATAACTTTAGAGTGAGGAGATAGATGATAAGGTGATGGGGTGTGTGTGGAGGTCCTGAGGTCTGGGGTGTATGTCAGATAATCCAGCTGGCTTCATGAGCCATCAGTTGTAGGGACAGCTAAGAGTGATTCATTAGCATTGTCTTTCTCATGTTTCATAGTGGGTTGTGTTGGTGACTCACAGGACAGCCAAATAACATAGCAATTGCTAATGGAGCCCAGTGGTGAGACTCAACAGTGGTATTGACTCCCACCTTCAAATCTGTGTGTCTGTTGGATGACTTCTTTCCATCATATGGGCAGCCAGTAGTGCTTTTGGAAACTACTTGTGAAATCTGAGCTTTAAAAGTAAAAGATTTCATGTTTGGCTGACTTTAGAGCAAATGGGAAAGAGATGATTCTTAATATTTCTAATAGGATTCACTGGTGATCTAAGATGTGCTAAAAGATAAGGGAACATGATAAGTAGCCACCATCAGGGGGAAGATGAGGTGACTAACTATAGTTATACAAGTGGTCATGTGGTATGAGATTTATGTCTAGGCATATATTATCAGGCTTAAATTCATGACGTTTATTTCATCTCCTATTTAAACTACTAATGAAATACTTTATAATGTAGAATGCTAAAATCATGTTAAATTGATGCCATCTCTGCCAGAATAAAATACTGTAATTACTAAACAGTAGAAATATAATTGTTTATATTCCTTAAGCGCCACTGCAATTAAGGCATCACATTTGTTGTGCTTTCTTTAGAATCTGATTAGTGATATTTAATCCTTTTTTTAAAACTCTTCATTTTCTGAGTTTACTGCACATGCTTTTAAAAAAATTCTCTCAATAGTCCAAAAAGTTCTGTAGGGTCATAGTCCATTGGCATATAACTTAGAATCTAAGACTATACATGAATGGGTGTGATTTTCACTTTGATTTTTTAAAATTTGCTAACCTTTAATTGGTATATGTGCAAATGGAATGTACAAGATCCCAAAAAAGATAGGGGGAAAAAGGAAGGACACTCGTGTGTAGATAAAAAGGTCAAGATTGGTATACACAATTGGATATGGGAAGCCTTTGAAAGTTCAAATCTTGTTTGACTATTAAAGTGCCATCCCTGGAAACTATTCCATGTGTTACTAATATTTATGGAATTTTTAAAGATATATTTTCATATCAGTTGATAGCTTCTCTCATTAATTCCTAGAAACACAGAAGCATAGTGCTCTAAGGTTTGGCGGGTTTTTTTTTTGTTTGTTTGTTTTGTTTTTTTCCACCTCACTTCTGCTAATTACTTCCCCCATTGGAATACTTTTTTCTTAATACCCACATCAAAATTCTCAAATAATATATTTTCAAGCATCTACTGTGTTAAGATTTTATTTTTAGTTTTTACCATCTTAACTTTTTGTTAAGTTTATTGGGGTAACATTGGTTAATAAGATTATATAGGTTTCAAGTGTATGACTCTATGATACATCATCTATGTATTCTATTGTATACCCACCACCCAAAGTCAAATCTTCTTTGGTCACCACATATTTGACCTCCTTTACCCTTTTTAACTCCCCCACATTCCCCTTCCCTCTGGTAACCCCCATACTGGTGTCTGTGTTTATGAATTATTGTATGTTCATTTTTCTTGTTGTTTTTAATAAACACTATATACTAATAATAAACACTCACTTTCTAAATCAATTCCCTTCTTCTTCATTCTATAAGAATAAATAAAAATATAGTTCTAGGTCAGCGTTTCTCAACCTGTGAGTCGCGACCCTTTTGGGGGTCGCACGACCCTTTCACAGGGATCGCCTAAGACCATCAGAAAACACATATATAATTACATATTGTTTTTGTGATTAATCACTATGCTTTAATTATGTTCAATTTGTAACAATGAAATTGGGGTCACCACAACATGAGGAACTGTATTAAAGCGTCGTGGCATTAGGAAGGTTGAAAACCACTGTTCTAGGTGGTATTCCTTCCTTGTCCTAGAGGCAAAAGTTGAATCCTCTATGTTATGCTAATTTGGTAATGACCAATATAACCACATGCCAGGGATAAGTTTCTTTGATCAGTATGGTCAATGGGTTACGATAGTGAACTTGACCTCTGCATTTTTAGTGTCAGAGATACTTATGATCCTAAGTAGTCCCGTGCGTGGCTATTAAAGGTAAAGAAAAACCAGCAGGTGCATGGCTCCAATTGCTGCGTAAACAACTGTAGAAACATGTTTATAAAAGCTGGCTCTCAAGTGACAGATAAGTGCAGAGTTGTGTTATGCATGCTAAATTCAGCATGCTGCACGCTTAAAAGCAGGTAGGTCAAAACAAGAGAGATTTTAAAAAATCATAAAGACAAAATACAGCTGTGTTGGTATGTGACAAAAAATAATTTTGCCTTAAAAGTGATCTTCCCCAATCTCCTCAAGGAACATGTTACCGCAATTTATGGGGAAAAAACTAAAGGCAAATTGGGAGTGTTCCATTTCTTAACTTGTCTGGCATGGAGATTAGAAAAAATAGGGGGAGGGACTGTTGTTAAACTAAGATACAATAGAGCCCCTCTATTATAAACAAAAATGACATCACATAATATAGAATTTTCTTAATATGAAATGTTTAATTCTTAAATAAAAAAAATGCACACAAAATAAGCCACTAAACATATCTTTTCATGCATGGTCTTTTCTACCTCACAAGATTCCCTTGCATGACTTTTAGAGTAGTTCCCTTGCTCAGGGTTGGCATATATTGATTTTCAATTTTCACTGTCCAGAGCCATATTTACAGAAAGTTGTACAAATATTGTAGATGGTAGGCTGTGCCACCCTCACATGATTAAAACTTCAGTTCCTTGGTTTTCTAGGGCTTTGTGTAAATGCCAATAAATTTGAGAGTTCATCCAACTGTGCCTCTTAACCTTTGTTCCCGAAGGTGAAGGGCAGCATTTTTAATCAAGTAGCAATTTATCTTTAATTAGGAAAACATAATTAAGTATTATCATCTAATTGCAATTACTGGTTGGGGAAAGTCACATTTCACAAGTAGTGACCCGTGCTGGATTGCCGTTCTTCTGTTATGGAATTTAGCCTCTGTGCTTGCATTTGGTGGATGGCCAATAAGAATTCAAAGGTAATCACCACGCATCTCTGTAGCCCAGCTATGGAAGTCACCAACCCCACTGCTGAATAAGAAACCAAGAGATATTTCCTGAGCCACAGTTAGGCTACCTCTCTTTTCTGCTCAGACATCAAGTTTAGATCAAAATAATTGTATATAACTAAATAAAAAACACCATGTGACATAGATTAGAGAACTCTTCCACACTTCATTTCTGGTACAATTAAAAACAGTTTAATGTCTCAAGGCACCACTATGGTTGAACATCAGATACACAGGTAATCAGCTAATTTTCTACTATGCCATAAAGTCAGTAAATAGCTTGTGCAATTGTGAAAAGCAATCTCTAGAGGGTTGTTGGATATATAGTAGGCACGTGTATCATCATACAAATAGAAAACAATGAGTCCTAGAAAAAGCATGTTGAGCACCGTTGTGGCATTGTTTGTATTTCTCTACCTAACATTAAGCAGACCTTACATTTACAAAAAGAAAGACTAAATTATTGAAAGGTACACTCAGGGTTGCTTTTTTTTTTTTTTTTGCTGTATCCAAGTAAGTGAATCTAGTTCGTGGGTGTACTTTTAGAAGTCGTTGGATCAGGGTCAGCTTCTGCCGCGCTGGCAGGCTCATTCAAATGCGAGCTCAAGTTTTCAGACGTTAGGTGGGAAGACTTGAAGACAATCTCATTGAGGTCGGACCTGATGCAGACCAAAGAAGGGTCATTCAAAGGGTCTTCCACTGAGGCCTGGGTGTTTTCTCGAGTGATTCCCATGTCTTTGCTATGTTCTGATGGGGATTTTCGTTTCATGCGAGTGTAAGTTTTATCTTGATTCTCCATGCCTGGCTCATTTTTCAAAAAGCGTCCAAAGAACCAAATGAAGAATCCAAACCACACAAAAGCTATCAAACTTGGAACAAAAGCCATACACTTGACATCAAGGCTAGCCCCTGTGAACCTGCTGTGGAGGAACATGTCTCCTTCAACATACGTCTTATTCGTTTGAGGATTAGTATGATTGGACCTCCATTCCCAGGATAGCTTGGTTCTGTTCAAATCCTTTAAACTTTCTGAGTCTTTAACTGTATATATCTTCTGCCCTGGGCCAATATACTGTCCATATTCATGAGGCTTATAAAATATCTGGTTCTTCCACATATTAAGATCCAAAATCAAGACGAGAAAGATAATCCCATAGTTAAACCATTTACCTGCATTAAAAAAGAAATACTGCATATTAGTCAAAGACCTATAACACTACAATACAGTTTACTCCAATAAAAAGGAGATAATGGTATAATAATATAAATTGTTAATGCTTTAGACCTGTTAACAATTCATTTTTTGAGAGTGCTATGCGGCCATTAAGTGAAAATTGGCAAAGGGAATTTCCTAAATGGATGGTAGGCATATGAAAACATAACTGTAGGTCCCTCAGCCAGTAACTTGTGGTATTTACATTAACCAGATTAAGGCCCCTTGTTTTATAGGCTCCACAGGTTATATTCAAATTTGGACCCATGTAGGTTATTCTCTAGAACCTTTCACTTAATGTCTAAAAACAAAGTTCTAATAAAATTCTTAGGAAAGGCCAACATATAATTCAACATCTCTTAGAGTTTCATAGTAATGTCTGGGTGAGACATAAATCATTTCACAATGCAAGCACAGCAGCATATCAATTGAATTCCCATTGCTGTTTGCAGGTGACCTGTTGATTAAACCATTAGTTGATGTGATTCAGATCAATAATCCTTGAGCATTCACTTCGAGATGTTAAAAATAACTACATCAAATTCTCATTGAACAGAATGCATTTATTGGACATATAAATATAACTACCCCTAATGAACTATTTTAGAAGACATGATTTGGAGAGATTGTAACTACCATGATGTCTTTGTAGTATTTTAAATTTTTATATAAATAATATAGTCTTAAAAGTCATATGATCTAGTGATATCTTTATTTCTACAAATGGAAAATGTGAAAAACATTTTCAAGGAATACTACATTCCATTGTAATTTTTATTATAATCACCATTTATAGCAAGTTTGAGAGTATCAAGTTTATCACAATAAAATAGCAATACTCACCTCACAGATTTGCTGTAGCAAATTAGGTGACATATGTAACAGCTTCTAGAAGCTTTAGTTCTAATTATTATTTGTATCATGTCAAAATTATTTTATTTTGTATTTGAAGATAATAGTGTTGAATATTATTAAGTTACTAATTCACCTGATTATAGAACTTTTGGAAAAGGAGAGAGGTAAGATCTTGGGCAAATTTACTAAAATAAGAATGATAAAAATGTATTTTGCATATGTACTCTCACAGAATATATAGCTATATTAAAAGAAAACTTTGTGAGGAGTTTAGGAAAATATTTTATCATCATCATTACACATTTTCAAGTTCCTATTACATGCAAGGTTGAAGGGTTTTAATCCTGGCTCTATTTAAATTCTCTAAACCCCAATTTCTTTGCATGCAGAAAATAATAGTACTTATTAAAGCTGTTAGCATTTTTCATGAAATTATTAAATGCTAAGTACAGTGCCTAGTGTAATAGGTATTCCGTAATTGTTCCTATTATTATCATCAAAGCCTTGCCTAAGCCATGATAATGTCTTCATTTGCATGGGATGGTACAATTTTTCTCTATGAAGAGAGTTTATATAAACTATATGAAGGGGCATTATAACTCTGCCTGTTTTAAGATTATTCAACTCCATAGGGTTTATAATATTTATAGTGGAAGCTCTTGCCTGAATGATTTATTTTGCACACCTACATTAGAAGGTAGGTTGGAACACTGGAAACATTTCCAGATATGATAAGACATCTACAACGTCTGGCACTGTGAAGTTCAAGCCACTCATGCCCTCCTGGATCTTAAAACTGAAACTAATTCTCACTAAGAATCAACCAGAAACAAATGAAGCTAAAGCCAGGAAAATGCAATCAAGTACAAAGGTGAGCATCATTACCAAACATCTACTGTGCTCATAACAGACTCTGCTTAGGATACCTTAGGAAATGCTGAGGGCATATGTTTCTACCTTCAGGGGAGGAACCCATCATCTTATTGGGGAAACAGGATAGAGACGTCAATAGATAAATAAAAATAAGAAGCCACATTTGAGAGGTGCTTAATGAGTGATCAAACCATACATGCTGAAGATGTTGAGAAAATGGAATAAAAACTGAGGGCTAATTTCTATAGAAAGGATTTTGAAAGAAGTAGTAACTCATGTGGTCCCTGAAAAAAAAAAAAAAACAGGATAGAAACTGAGGGCTAATTTCTATAGAAAGGATTTTGAAAGTAGTAACTCATGTGGTCCCTGAAAGAAAAACAGGATAAAGAGCAGTTTAGAAAATTTTTTCATTTCTTTTAGTATGTTTTTTTTTTTTTACTATGCCCCAGATAGAACAGCTTACAGAAAAAAATCAGGTGATATGGGGGGAAAAAGAGGCTGAGAGGAGAGAGAAGAAAAAGAATGAAGAATACTGCAAGGAAAGAAAGGCGGGAGATGAATGAGCGATGGGTGAAATGAAAACGTTCAGAGATTCTTCATCCCGTGTTCAGGAGGCACGGGAGTGCAGCTTCCACGACAGAGAGCAAGTTGAGAGAGGTGCTCTGGGTGCTTCTCTGCTGCAGATTTCTATGTACCCGCTTGCTGTGAATTCTATGTGTTAGAAAGCCAGATTGAATGGTGAGGGGAAGAGGTCCTTGAACTTGGATGACTGATCATCACCTTCTTGATTCACAATGGGCCCTTGGAGAGACTTGTTCCCCTCTAGGTCATTTTGATAAACTGGTGAACAGGGCAAGGGCCTCCATAAAGAGGTCCCTGTTTCTATGGTGATGACAGGAGATCAGAAACTGAAGATAAGCAGCAGCACAGAATCAGGGAGAAGAAAGGGAGGCCCATGGAGCTTGGAGAAAAGTGCTTTTCTGGTGGGGAAAAGATGCTCAGTGAATGTTTCAAGACAAAGGAAAAAAAATCAAAGAATAAAAATGGAGCTATGGCCCAGCCGGTTTGGCTCAGTGGATAGAACATTGGCCTGGAGACTGAAGGGTCCCAGGTTAGATTCTGGTCAAGGGCACATGTCCAGGTTGCAGGCTCAATCCCCAGTAGAGGGCATGCAGGAGGCAGCCAATCAATGATTCTTTCTCATCATTGATGTTTCTCTCTCTCTCTCTCTCTCCCTTTCCCTTCCTCTCTGAAATCAATAGAAATATATATATATATATGTCACTCCTTTAAAAAAAATAAAGCTATGTACTCTGATCACACTAAGAAGAAACCTTGAAGATAGAAAGAGCTGTTTTTCCTACTTTGAAATTATTTTTCTACCATCTCAGATGAATGGTGCTGGGTCAGTTTGACCACTAAAGTTTGACAATAAAGAATCACTGTATGTTATTTCTTATGTGGCCTGAACTCTGAATATTTAGATGGGATGGAGGGAAAGCACATTAAAAATGCAATGCTTGACATCAGTTAATGGATACCATCACCCTACTCTAACACATCTTTACCCATTTGTGAGAGGGAATGCCCTCGTGACAGAAACTGCAGGCTGGAAATCGGCAGATGGAGATTTCATTCTAACGCTGAACTTGAATAATACAACCTTGGGTAACCTGTTTAACCTCTCCAGACCTCAATATTTTATTTTCAAATTGAGGACATTGAACTACATGCCTTCCAGTTTTATGATTTTCCTCCTCTTTCCCCAAATCCTTCTACTCACTAGCTCCATGAATTCAATTTTTTTGTTCTGTGAAATGGAGAATAATACCAATGTAACTGCATCAAAGGATTATTGTGAGGATAAAATGAGAAGTTATTATTTGAAGTTCTCTGAAATATATTGTTTGCCAAAAATGTAGGGTAGTATTATTTTACAATTTCTTTACTTCTTTAGGATCTCGGTGACAGAGCAGAGGGAAAAAAGAGTATGTACGGGTTTGTAACAAATATATATCTTAAAGGTGACCAGTTTGGATAAAACAGAATGAATTACTGTGAACTAACATTATTGGGTAGATATTACTAGGCCAGTTACCTAAGAGGACCCAATGTGTAGCTACATGAAAATATACTTTGTGAATCAGCATATTTAACATGTTAAAAACCTATAGCAATTGGTCATTGTTCTACTGGTTGCAGTAGTATTGCTCCTGAGCAAAGGTCTTGTACATACACATAAGCTGAGGCTACAAGACAGGAGATAGTACTTCCACTCCCACCCCAGCCGAGAGGCCATGTGGCGATGAAAAAGTGCAGAGGACAGAGAGGAGACTGAGCAGAATGCCTACTGATGTATTTCCTTATTCTATGCTATAGCATTGTCCTTCCCTATACTGTCATAGCCATTCAGCCAAAACTTGAAGCTGCTGGAAATCTAGAAGAAATGGGTCTTCTTACTTTTTTGTTTGTTTCCAGACCACTTGGCATAACTTCTGGTCCATTTATCCATTTGTACAGAGAAAGAATGTTTATCTTTCTCTAACATCCATTCTTACATCTTCCCACACAGTGTTTTGTTACCTTGGTAATGCTTTCTCCTCTTTAAAAAAACAACAACTACTTTTGCGCTATGAGATGTGGCAACCCAGAGAGCAAAACCTGGTTGGACAACTGAACCTTGCTGTTCTTGTCTGTAAGGTGCGGGAACTGAGCTATATAATCCTTATGGTTTCTTCTCAGCCCTGAGAGTCTATTGGATGAGTCTGTGAAATAAACATTGTCTAAACATTAATGTTTTATGATGGGTCAGAAAATCTCACCATGAGAGCAAAAAGATGGGGTACACCATTTCCAGATGGAGAAAGCTTTCCTCAAAAAGAAAAAGCTTGTGTACTTTGAGAAACACTGATTAACATAAAAACTAAATTTGAGTCCCTGAAATAACTCACATGGAAAGGATATAAGGCACAAAAAAGGGAAGGATAAGAAGTGCTTCTATTTCATTTCCCAAAGTGTGTTGTGAATGTACAGTCAACCACAACAAGAGGTTTGGTATTTCAACATTGATCATATGAGAGATATTGCATTTCCTCCTGTTGTTCCAATGACATAGCATAATGTAAATCAGCAAGGAGGCAGGGTACAAATCCATACATTATTTCTATTAATCTCCCTGTTGAACTATCTCACTGTCTCCTTTAATGAGAAATCACTGCATGGTGTTGGT